CGGGGGTACAAGGGTCGCAGCTCCCCTCCCCAGCTGAGGGGCGTTGGGTGGGGGAGCTGGAGCAGCTCCTCTGCCTTGGGAAGGGGCTGTCAGGGGGACCCGCCCTGGCTATGGGGCTGGGGGCCCCGCGGTACCCCCCTGCAAGGGTGGGGGGGGATACCGGGGGTATCCACCCCGGCTATGGGGCAGGGGAGCTGGCTGGGGGCCCCGGGGTTCCCCCCTGCAATAGGGGGGATGCCAAGGGCTCCCCAGGCTATGGGGCAGGGGAATTTTGCTGGAGGAAGTCCCCCTCTATAAGGGACGAGGGTAGCGCCAGGATTGCCCCCTCATCTGTAGGGCAGGGCAGGCCATGTGGGGGCTGCGGGGACCCCTGTGTGCACCCTCCGCCCCATGCAAAGCAGGGTGGAGGGGGTCAGGGCCTTGAAGGCCCCCCTGGGGTGGCCTCGGAGCCAGGGCTGTACCGTCCTTCTTTCCACAGATATTGAAGAAACCTCATCCCTTCCCGAAGCCCTTAGAGCTGTCGCCTTGGGTGGCAGCAACTCTGTCCCAAACAGGTGCCCCTGCCAACGCACATGCCTCCCCCCGTTATCCTCTCCTGTGCGGGGTGTCACTCCTTGTCCACCTCTACTCAATACGAGGGACTGTGGGCGCTCTCTGTGTGCACCTCCCCTGCTTTGGTTCCTCTGTCTGTGATGTCCCGGTTCCTGTCGAGGCACCTGGGGATGGGAGAAACGAGTGAAGTGTCTGATTCAGGTGGTGTTTAGGAAGAGGAGGCTGGTGGTGACGAAGGAGATGCTCCCTACAAGGCCTTGGGAGCAAGGCTCCCGTGGGGAGAGGGCACCCACCTCTCTGGGGAGGCTTTCACAAGTGCTGTTCCCATCTGGTGGTCCTCACGTTTGCTCTCATTTGCCTTATCTGAACCCTGCCCTTCCCCTCCTGGTGTGCGGACGCAGTTCTGAAATGCTTAGTTGGCTTTAAATCCTGCTAGGCCAGTTAAATCTCTCTTTCTAATGTGCTTTCACTCGGTTCTTTGTCTCTGCGCCGGCTCCCTCAGGTTGATGGGACAATCCAGGTCTGTGGCAAGCAAAGGGAAAGCAACGAGCACTACGCTTTCCTCCTCTTCTGCTCATGGGGGAAGAAAATGCTGTGCTCTTCCTGGGTCATTTTGTCTCCTGATTGCTCCCATCCCTTACCCGGAGGTCACAGCCATGCTTCCAGCTGGTGGTCATAGACAGCATCTCTCTTCTGCAGTGGGTGACTTCGAGCTTCGGCTTGGAAAGCTCAAACCAGGTGAACCGGTCTGGGAGGCAGCCGGTCCTGCCCAGACAATACACTCCAATGTCAAGTTTTTGGCAAAGTTCTCCCCTGCTCCTAACTGGCTGCTTGGCAGATATCTTGCTGTCCAGGAGCCTTGTTACCACCTCTAAATACCCTGCGTGCCAGTCCCTTCCAGGGACGGTTACCGACAGGTCTTGGGCAACACAACCACAAAAGGTGGAGGTGGGATGTGCTGCATCCATGGACACTAGACACGAAGCTCCCTTTCTTCTTTTTTCTCTGAGCTTTGAGAGATCTTCCCGTACAGATTCTTGGCTCTCTCCTTTCTTTGCCCTGACAAGCTGGCAGAGGGAGGCTTTGTAAAGATTTGGAGACTGTGTTAGCTTCCTTTTCCATGACACTTTGTGCATTTGGTCACTTAGTTGTATTAGCTTTCAGTTGGTGCTTTTTCCCTGTAGATTTAGGGTGGCAGAACTAGTAAATGTTGTTTCATGTTTCCAGTACTGCCCTGTGGTTTTTGCATGGGGAATTCTCGCCCCAGTAATTTTCTGGGGATGCGTTGGCAGGTTGGTCTAGTGTGCGATGGGTTGTTTATTTCCTGCTCTTTAGAGAGATGGGCAGCCAGGCTCCGGAGGGGTATTTAAATGCTGTTTTAAAAGGGGAGAAACAGAGTCTACTAGGAATAAATATGTTCTGTGTCCAAAGTGGCACTAAGGTTTCATGGATATGCTTTCTGCTGCAGTGTCAATAACCCACACCCTGTGATGATCTCCTTGTGAGTGGTATAACGCAGATACCACAGCTGTTGTACCAGACACTGAACATACGGGTAACAAGAAATGCCTGTCCCAAAGAGCTTAAACTGAGACAGGACAGGGGACTCGTCCAGTCAGTTTGGGAGCACAGCATCAGCTTAGGTCTCGGCTCCTGACTCAGTGGTGTGTTTGCTGAAAGGTAGTGCCCTCCCTGAGCTTTCTGTCCATGCAAAAGGCAGGTGAAGACAGCTTCAGACAGAGAGTTAAGCTTGGAGACAGCAGATTCATCTAGCCAAGCTGCATCAGGGAAAACCAGACAAGAGTGAGAAAATAAAGTTACTGAGCATCGCTTGGTGGTGTCACTCCCCTGCCTCAGTTTTCTCAGCTGTAAAAGTAGGATGTGGTAACGCACCTTTGTGTGGGGCTGCAGGATCTGCTGCAAGTCAGCTGCAGGGACGTGAGCTAAAGGAGTGGGATCAGACATCGAGGGTACCACAGACACTACGGCACAAACCTGCCGTCTGGCAGTTGTGCATGTGCTCGTGTATCTTAGAAGTCACCTGTTGCACACCTCGGAGCATTTGCACTCCTCCTGTCCAGCCTCTTACACCCCCTGCACAGGTGGATAGGGCAGAGAATCGGCAAAGATGGGACAAACGGGGGGCGAACCCGCTTCATGCAGCGGTTGGAGCTCACCAATGCAGGACGGTGGTGTTCAGCCCTGCCTCTGTAGCCTGCTGGAAACGAGACTGTCATCTTCAGCTGCTCGTGTGGGAGCATAGGCTGATGAGCTGTGCACTTAGATCAGCTTGGGATGCTTTGTCTGGGGGAGCCTGGGTTCACATTCTTTAAAAAGAGCTGCTTGGGAGGTGGGACCCTCTGCAGTTGTATCAGCCGTTAGCCAGAGAAGGCATCGGCCGATTGCTTCAGAGCCCCAGGAAAGGGTTTCTTCACCCAGAGCTGGCTGCCACATCCCCTCCTCTATGTCTAACACACATCATCCGTTTGGCTTGTGAACTTCAGGCCTGCGCATGTGAATCAAAGCAGTCACCCGTTGGCAGCGTGTGGATCCCTGCGCAGAGAGGAGCAGCGTTGTGACTGCCGTCACGAGACGGTGCGAGCTTGGTGCTGGGTTATCAGAGAGGCTCTGCCAGCTCCTCTTCTGCAAGGAGCTGCCATGAGTCATTGGGAAGCAGCGCTAATCTGGAGGGGTTGTTTTTCTTACTCCTGATAATCTGCTTGCTATGCCCACCCACGGGGGTGCCTCTGTTTAATAGCTGTCCTGACTCCTAGATGCTAATTAGTCAGCAGACTCTTTCCTAGGCTTGATTGCTGGTGGGTAAACACAGTGAGCCTTTTCAGCATTTCCAGCCACGAGGGACGGTCGCTGCAGCGGTGAGCCCACCCCTCGTCAGACTTCACCACCAGGATCTCTCCGTGCTGTGGTTGTTTCAGCCTCTGCCCTGGATCTCTGCGTCTCTCCCCTGCCAGCTGGGCCTGTCGCTGCTGCTTCCCCAGCATCAACTGGTTCCCAGCGCGCTTTCCAGCTGCACCAGGCTGCCGTCCCCCTCCTACACGGCTGGGCTCTGCTCGTTTTACCGCCGGGCACCATCTGCAGCTCTCAGAAACCAGGCCAGCTCTGTTGACCCAAGAGGAGCCTGTCCCTTGTGTGCCAGCTCTGAATGGGCCCTTGTCTCCGCCGTGGGATGCGGGGCCGTGCTGTGTACCAGGGGATGGAGAGGACTTGTTTTCCAGAGATGGTTTTTCAGGGTGGGGTGGCTGTGAATAGTTACCCAAATGGAGGTAATAACTCAGGATCCCTGTCTCGCGTCCAGAGCCTGTAAAACTAGTGATGAGCACTCACCTAGTAGCTCCTCTCCAAGGTGATGCTCCCCATGTAGTGCCTGCAGCGCTCGGGCTCCCTTTCCCACTAGTCCCATTCCACGCAGAGGGGAGCCGAGGGACTGAGATGTGGTGACTCATTTCAGGCCACATAGGAAGTAGTCGATGAAGCTGGAATTTGGACCCGAGTCAAACCGTGTACCATACCAGATGCTGCTTCGCTGTAGCGTTGGCTACGAGCCTGAGAGCCAACGTGGGGTTCAAATCCTCAGGTGTGTTGTGGAGGAGCCCCAGCGTCGCTGGCTAGAGTCTTTCCCTGTCCTGCAAGGCTCGGAAGCGTGAATTCCCAAACCTGGAAATCCCCTTGATGGAAAAGAGAATGAATGTCAGTGTATAAGGCAGGGGGACTGAGACACGTGGTCACTCGGAGTGAATCGGTGGTGCAGAAAAGAGCAGATCTCAAATCCCAGCTCAGGCTGGAGAGAGCCTAAGAGTTTAAACAAGGCTTGTCTTTGCTGCTGCAAAGAACAAATCTTCAGCTGAATGTGGCACTTTGGATCTAAGGCTTTGAAGACAGAAGGTTATTGAAGTTGCTTTTGGTCTGTATTCAGCTCCCGACGGCAGGCAAGAAGTGTGACCCCAGTCTAGACTGAAGAGGTTATTTGTGGGTGCTCTGAGGCTTTTTGCATTGTCTTCTTTTTTTTCTATCCTCTTCCTGCAGCATTCAACCTGTCTATGGAGCACAGCATCCTCCACTGGATCCCCGGCTCACCAAAAAGTAAGTGTTTATCTTCTGGAGACGCAGGCCACGAGGCTTTGCAGGTTTTTGGCTCAGTCCTGCAGTAGGTGGAGGTCTCCAGCATCCTCTGGCACTGTGATGTTCCAGCGGAGAAGGGCAGCAGTAGCGCGCGGTGCTGTCTTGAGCTCTGCGAAAGCTTGCAGGGAAAGCTTATCTGCTGGCGCCCTTTATGGCCAGAAATCGATATCGTACCAGCCACATCAAAGCAGACGGGTGTATTTTTCAGCAATGGTGTCTGAACCCTCTGCTCCCCCTCGGAGACAAACAATTAAGGGGAGGTAAAGCTGCCCGGCAGCTGTGAGGCTGCAGAATCGCAGCACCCTTCCCGGCAGGAAGAGGCAGAGCTGATCTGAACTGCCTCCTTGTCTCTATCTCGTGCTGTGTAGTGGTGAAGGTTCCCCCTTTTCTGTGACGCTTCAGGTCGTGGACTTTGACTCCTGTAGCTTAAGGGTAAACGCGAAGGCTCCTCCTGTGCCTGAGAAAAGAACCAGGCTGGTCTGTCTGCTGGGAGCCATCGCAGCTGTATCAGGAGTGTCCACGAGCGCAGACCGGCTCCGTCTAACCTCTCGCATGCCTCTCCCCAGGTTGCAAGACTTTTTTGGGGTGTTAATCTACCAGTTTTTTCTAGGGTGGGGGGAGGCAGAGCTGGAGGAATTGTACGTCTCTCCCCTTTGCCCTTCTGAGCTGGGAAGCCTGGCACCTCTCCAGCTATCTGCTGGCACTGTGGCCTCCGTGCCCTGCCGTCATACCAGCTCGGGCTCTGCCTCCCGGCAGTGGGCAGCCTGGAGAGGCTTAACTCATTCCTTGGGTTTGGGGCGAGGAATGGGGAAAGTGGAAAATGGGACTGGCTGATTGGAGTGAGGATGTAGGGGAGGAAAGAAAATGGACTCGTCTGGCAGCATTGCTCTGATACTGTTTCTCTCTGGGTCCCAGCTTCATCAAGGACCGCTCCAAGGCCAATGCACTGCCTATGAAAAGCAAGAAGGCCTCCAGCTTTCACGAGTTTGCCCGCAACACCAGTGATGCCTGGGACATCGGTGATGACGAAGATGAGGACTTCTCTTCCTCCTCTTCTTCTTTGCAAACTCTGAACTCTAAAGTGGCCAAGGCCACGGCAGCCCAGGTTCTGGAGAACCACAGCAAGCTGCGGGCAAAACCCGAGCGGGCCCAGTCCGCTCTCAGCGATGTGCCCACCAACTGCAAGGTCATCAAGTCCAGCAGTGAGGCCCAGCTCTCCAGGACATCTGGTAAGATGGAGCAGCAAGGCCCAGCTCTCCAGGACATCTGGTAAGAGCCATCTTCAGGAGCAGCGTCCTGCTCCGGTGCTCTCCTGGTTGATCGCTGAACTCAGCTGCTTGCTGCTACTCGCATGTTATGGGCAAGAGGCTGTGGCGCAGCCCGTAAGCCCAACAGAGGCTTTCACCTCCTTGTAGTATCCTGCACTCCAAGGAGCTGTTTTTGGAGTCCTGGCCTTGATGCTTCTTCAGTCTCCTCTGCTGCTCAATATCCTGCACACAGACACGTCTGTCCCAGAGGATCCTGTGTTCTGGGTGCTAAGGGATTTTGGAGATATGTTAAGTTCTTGCTTGGGATTGCTCACCTTCTGCTTCCTTTGTGGCCCAGTGTGCTGCTCTTAGTAAAGGTCTGGATGAGGCCGTGTAAAGCCCAGGTCGGTACAGCTTGGGCAGGGATCTGGGCAGCATCAGCCCCTGCTCGCTTTGCCTTGTCGCAGGCAGGCGGCTGCCTGTGCTGTGAAAGTAACCCAGCAGGTCCCTGCTGCCAGCAGGTGGCATAGGCAGCCTGTCGCCTCCTCTCTCTGCGCTAGCAATTAGCTTGATCGCTATTTAGATCAGAGACGAGCAGGGCAGCTGTGAAGGTCAGTTCCTCTGGGATTCTCACGGGCTCCTTCCACCTCGTCTTCTGTATCCTTCTGCCCATGGCTTCCCATGTGAAGGGAGAGGTCTGATCCGCTGGCAGCTAGGTGTCTGGATGCAGGAGGAAGAAAGGGAAGGAGGAACAGGGGGAGGTGATGGAAGAGCCACGACAGATGCCTGTGAACCAGCTGATCCCTTGGAGTGGGCCAGCGATGCTCTGTTTGCTGGGGCTGGGGAAGAGAAGGGTGAAATCTGCAGTGGCAGGTCTCTGACAGTAGCCAGAGGAGCGAGGTGGGGTTGGAGAGGTGCAGTCTCCTTCCCTGCCTCACTGCAGCATCTGCTCCTTGCAGAGGAGGCCTGTGTGCGGACCCCCCTTCAGAAGCAGCAGTCCCTTCCCCTTCGGCCCGTCATTCCACTCGTCGCCAGAATCTCTGACCAAAATGCTTCAGGTGCTCCCCCCATGACGGTGAGGGAGAAAACCCGCCTGGAGAAGTTTCGGCAGCTCCTTTCCAGCCACAACACAGACCTGGGTGAGTGTGGCAAAATGGGGGTGCCTGCGGGTGGGAAGGGGAAGGCAGAGGGGGCCTGCTGCCTGCTTCAGGTTGCAATCAGGTCTGCTCCAGGGCGGATAAAATGACTACCTGCAGTTGCTCCAAGTGGGATAGTTGCACAAACTGCTTTGTTGGCAGATGGTTATGTCCTCCACCAGCTGCCTGTCCATTTCCAGCCTTTCTCCATCTCGCAAATGATGGTTGTGATCGCTGGGGGCTGTTGGGCTCTGCATGAGAACTGAGGCTCCAGAGAATTGGAGCCCCCGCAGCCACGAGTCCTGTGCCCAGGCTGAGCTGAAAACGTCTCTACTCCCCTTGCCGCAGACCCGCATCCCCAGTCATTGCAAATGCGGAGCCTTCTTGGAGGCTCAGTGTCTCCAGAGCCTGCAGGAGCAGACTGGGCTTTCCTCTCCTTCTAGGTGTAGTGGTGCCTGGACGTGCCTAGGATCTAATCCATTGCCACCACTGTCCGTTTGCAGATGAGCTGAGGAAATGCAGCTGGCCTGGTGTGCCCAGAGAGGTCCGGCCCGTGACGTGGCGTCTCCTCTCAGTGAGTACTTGGAGCTGTGACACAGGAGCTTGGGGGGAATGTGCCAAGCCAGGGACATGCGCTCCTAGACCTTCGTGTGTCCCGTAACCAGGTTTGCTCATGTTGTATCTGTGCCCGGCCTACAGGTGAGCTGTAGGGTTTTTTTTCTCTCAGGGAGTGTAATTGCTACATCCTTTTTGAGCACAAAGCCCAGACAGGTGCTGGGAATATGTGGTTTGCTCTTTTTTGGGAAACTGAATCCCCTGAAGTTGGGTTGCCCCAAGGTCAGAAAAGGCATCAGAGGCTGGGAAAGCCAAACCCCATGAAACCTCTTTCCCCAGCTCCCAAGTCTCTGTGCCTGATGCTTCCAGATGCACAAGCTGCCTTCAGGCAGGATTTCAGGGGACGGTTTGCAGTGAGGGAAGCGGATCTGCCCTGACACGGGTTTTCCTGCTGCAGGGTTATCTCCCCGCAAACATGGAGCGGCGAAAGCTGACTTTGCAGCGTAAGCGTGAGGAGTACTTTGGCTTCATCCAGCAGTATTACGATTCCCGGAATGAGGAACACCATCAAGACACCTACCGACAGGTACGAGCCCTCTGCCTGTTGCCTGGCTTTCTGCCTTGGTATATCCCTTTCCTCCGTCTTGCAGCTGGGGTCGTGCTAGCACTTCCTCTAGCTATAACTACTAGGAGTCTTCTCCTTGGGGACAGGGCACCATGTTTCTGTCCATCTTCTTACGGGTATTAGTTTAAGCCTTCCTTAAACTGATCTAATAACTATATTTCAGACCCCAACTCTTTCCCAGCTCTGGCCACCTGCCCAGACCTGAGCAGAGGAGACCGGAGATAAAACTGTAGATGATTTTCTCAGTGCAGCTGTCATCTGTAGCCCTCGCTGTGCTTGTCAGCAAGTGCAGCTCTCGCTTGGGGGGACACTGAGGGGTGGATTCCCCTCTGTCAGCCTGCGATGAGTTACTGTGCCCCCGGAAAGCATGGCTGGTGTGTGTAACCCACCCTCTCTTCCAGATCCACATCGACATTCCAAGGACCAATCCACTCATTCCCCTCTTCCAGCAACCGCTGGTCCAGGAGGTAAGGGGGGGTGAAGCTCCTGCCCCACGTTTGGCATGAGGCGTGTGTGTGGAGTTAGACCAGCACTGCTGCTAGTGAGTTAGCTTTACGGGGAAACTTCCCTGGCTGACAGCTCCCGATGGAAATACCTGCCGAAACTGTTTGGTCTTGTCCTGCGTTTCTGAAGGACATCAGACTTGGAGCTCAGGGGTTATGAGATCAGCTCTTTTGTGGTGAGATGTAGCCAAGAGTTGGTAAAAGACCTGACGCTTTTGTTTTGAGACAAATTCAAGGCATTTGAACCAGAACAGGAGATCAGTTCTGTTTTGCTACAAAACCTCTTTTGTGCGAAGCAGTATGTGAGGAAACCCAGGCAGGGATGGGTTTGAGAGGTGGCCAGGAGGTGTGGGCATCTGTCCTCTTTGGAAACAAGCTCAGCGTGTGTATGTGGTATGTCAGAGCATGGTGTCCTGGGGCTGGGACAGTCTGGAAATAACACATTGGTTGTTGGGGGGAGGCTGCTCTGTTGGGAGCTGTCCTGATCTGTGATGTTTTCCTGGGAGTACTGTGCTGATAACACGTAACAGCCTTAGACTTCCATGTGATGTTCAGCGAGGCGTGCTGCTCTGCTAATAGGCAGCCCTGTCCTATGGGTGGAAGGGTCTTAAGCCACCTGGATCTTGAAAAGTTGGGTCTGCATTTCTTCAAGCGGAGGCTTTGATGAGGAGCCTGGGCTGCCTTATTCTGTGAAGTGTGGGCTGGCCTGTGTGTGGGATCTGTGGATCATACACGAGTATCTCTAGGACTTGTATGCTTCTTATCTTACCCATATTGCTGCAGAAAAGCCTGTCAGCGCATGATCTCTGCTCCCTGAGCTTAACAGTTACGCTTTTCTGCCTTTCCTTTGTGCACGGCTAATGCAGGTACCTGCTTTCCCTCATTCTTCCCTAGATCTTTGAAAGAATCCTGTTTATCTGGGCCATTCGACACCCAGCAAGCGGCTATGTACAGGGAATCAATGACCTGGTCACTCCGTTCTTTGTTGTGTTCCTCTCTGAGTATGTTGGTAAGTGACATTTGCTGCTTGAAGCACGGTGCTGCCTCTCGACCTCGGTGTTTGAAATGGTGTGAAGTGCCGGCATCAGAAAAGCTTGCCTTGCTGGAGGGGATGATGTGTTCTTCCTTCAGCGCCTGTGCCAGGCTGGAGATGCATCTTGACCTCTTACTGTATCTTTGCTGCCTGGTTGAACTGACTTCAGTTTCATAACCTTGCTGAGCTCCAGGGAAGTTGAAGTGCTAAGGGTGGATTTGCATTTGAATGTACTTAACATCCTTACAGCTTGGAGGAGAGTGGGGTCTTTTAGGCGCCAAGGGAGTTTAGGCAAAGCCCTGATACACGGAGTTGGGAGAGGGGGAGGGTCTTGCTCTCAAAGCTTGGGCTTGGAGCTAGTTCTTGCTCTAGGAGCAATGAGTGAAGTATAAAGAGACCCTGCTGAGAATGTAAAATAAACTATTTAAATAAAGATTCCTGTCCGGTGCTGCTAGTACAGGTGTGTTTCTCAGGCTGAGAGTTTCAGAAAACAAGTTGACTTCTCCCTGCTGCTTTTGGCTTTCTTGTTGCTTTTAGCCAGCGATCAAGTCATTTCCACCCATAGCATTTTTATTCTTTTGTCCAGCTCTAGCTGTGTTTTGGGGTCGACATTAATGCTGGGATGCGGTAATCCCTATGCCTAAAGACTCTTAGTTTTCACTGTAAATAGAAGGAAAAAGGAATTCATAAGACTGTATTAGTGATAGAGAAATGCTGTTGAACAAATATTCTTAAGGTCTGATCCAAAGCTTGTTGAAGTCAGTGGAAGCCTTCCACTATCTAACTAAGGCTTTGTAAACTAGTATTGCTCTGCCTCTTCTGGGGACATTGTGAAGAGGTAAGCTACCTCGGTTTCCACTGTGGTAGCCGGTGTGGTCAGGATTGATCCCTAGGAAGTGCTGTTGCCCCTCACAGCCTGAAGGAGAAGGCACAAAATGTGGCTCTGCTACCGGCTGGAGTGAATTCCCTTTCCTGGGAGGTCAAGAGCCTGTCGGGTCTGAGCAGGTTCCCTTTGAGTGGCTTCTCCTGTGCCTTATTGCTCAAACAGCATTGGTGGCATTTAGTCTTGGCAGAGGCTGGTTGCTCAGGATTGATTTATTGGGTTAGAAGCAGAGCTGTACACAGTGAGTTATCTGTGCAAGAAGAGAGCCGGCCTGAAGCATCAGAGCTGCCTGCGGGTACCTGGTGTAACTTCTTGCAGTCCTGTACTGTGTTCGGTGTCGGGGCTCAACTCTCTCTGCTCTGCATGTGGATGCAGAGTTCATGCTGCATCGGACCTGTCCATCTCTTGCTGGGGTCATGCTTCTCGCCACCTTCCAGGGCTGTTTTCACCCCTGACTGAAGCTTCCTCTCTGAACGTGGCCTTCCTGTTTCCAGCTATCTCTGAAACTTGTGTTGGAGGGGAAAAAAACCCTTTGCATGAGACCCGTTGAGTTGAATTTGGCCAAGCAACATCATGCATCCCCTTCTGTCCCCAGAGCCTGGGATTCAAAGCCAGCCTTCAGGTCACAAGCTGTCTTGGTGGCTACCTGCTCCCTGGTCTGGCTGTGTAGCGGTCAGAGTTTAAGGACGAGATCAGTAATTGCCTTGAACGTACGTGGGAAAGAACTGGCAGCGTTCAGTGTCACGTAACCCCTTTTGCAACAGGATTTAGGTCGCTGGTTTGGAGCACTGGCTGTTCTCTACAGCTGCCTTTGCTGACAGGCCCCTGAAGAGCTGGTGCTGGGCAGGGCTGGAGGCTCTCCATGTTGGATCACTAATTCTCAGGATCCCCGGATCAGCCAAGTCTGTGCTGCATCTGAGTCCTTGCAGCAGGAGAGCCAAAAGAGGCCTTGCACAGTTTGGTAATCCTTGGGCAGCACGTGCCAAGGGACAACTCACCTTTCTGTGGGAAGTCTCTTGTTCAAAGGAAATTCTGCTTGTATTCCTCAAGCTGTATCCTCCTTGGGAAAGGGGACAATCTGTACGGCTCAGGCAGCCCCTGCCCACAGAGCCACTGAGGGCTCATACACCTGTGTGTCATGTGAGGGTATTTCCACGTTCAAAGGTGTGTACAACTGGCCTGGAAAAGTTTCCCTTGCCTTTCCTTGAAAGCTGGCTCTGGGAAGTTGGTACCAGCACTGGCTCCATCCTCAAACCTCTTGGGTTTGCTGCCCCTACTCTCCTTTCAGAGCGGGTGTTTTGTTGATTGCAAGATGCTAGAAGGTACCCACTGTGCTGCCAGCTGGCTCCTCTGCTTAGCTGCCCACTGTCTTCCCTGGGATATTTGTGTTAGAGCCTTTGAAGGGCTGCCTCCCGCAGCAGCTGACTCAGCAGGACCATCGCAGCTCTCCGGGGACCATGGTGTGCGTGTGTGATTCAGAGCTGACAGGCAGAGGGGGGAGTTCACAAGCTGTTGACTTTGGTTAGCTGTTCAGCACAAGGTCAGGCTGACACCCTGGTCTTCTACTGTTCAATTTAGTGGCTTTTGGCATCGCAGTCTCACCCCTGATAACAGGCTGGTCCCCATCTCCAAGTTCACTGTAGGCTTCTAACCCATCATCCCATGCTTTGGGCAGGCATTCAATTCTCAGACAACAAATCAACTTTTCCACAGATAAATTAAAATCTCCTTCGTGCTCATCAGCTGATTAATGTAGACACGTTACTGATGTTGTCTCTATTATATATCAGTTACTAGACCAAGGCTTAAAACATCCTTCAGAGGGCTTGACTGGCTTCCCACCAAGGGCTAGAGCGTGTCTATGGGGAAAAGGTGGGTGGTTTGGGTAGGGGATGGTCTGTAGCTTATCAAACACATTCAGGGAAAAATTTGGCAGCTTCCTTTCATTGAAGTTGACAGGAGCAACGAACCAACAGTCAGCAGTAACCCAGCAAACTCCCAGGCCTTTGTGTGCAGAGGGATTAAACACAGCTTGCTCGGGGTAGTAGTTAGAGCAGTTTGGCTGGATTTGGGAGCATGGCCATGCTGCTGTGCCTTTTGACTTGGTGGCTTGCCATCCTCGCTGTAGAAGGTGTGGGGAGGAAGGGTGTATGCCTGTCCAGGTCCTGAAGGAGGGAAACGGATCAGTGAATGAAAAACATTTGCAGGAAGCTGTTTCTTTTGGATGCTTAGGGAACTGGATGACCCCGTTATTAACTTGCATCTCCCTGGCCTGACTGAAAGGGATATTGCTTCCCTCTTCTTTCCGAGCATTGCCTTGAATCCAGTGTGTGTACCCCTTTGACCAGCTTCAGAAAATACCACCTAGGCTGAGGCAGGGAGAAGCAGCTCTTCCCCAGAGCTTCCACTCCCTGTGTCTGAATTCCCCTGCCCCCTTCTCCAGCACTGGTCGGGACCCGTTGCTTTTCCCGTACTTGTACTCAGTCTGGACGCAAAACTCCTCGTGCTCCCTCCAGGTGCTGTGCAGACTGCTGTGAGCCCTTGGCAGATGGGATAGATTTTCTATCCCATCTGAGTTTTTCGCTGTGTTTTCCCCTTTCCCCCAGCGTGGCAAGCTGGCTCGCCTTCTCCTGTGATTCTCTGCCTGCCTCCTGCATGAACACGGCTGCCTCGGCTACTTGGCAGCAAGCGTGGGCTCTTTGGGCTCCTGCCACTGCCAGCTCCATAGCTGGAGCTATTCCTCCTCCCGGCTGATCGATGGCTTCTGTCGCAGATTGCTGAGCACTGCTTGTTTTCAGCTGGTGCCACCGTGAGGAAGAGCTTGAGGGAGGTGTTGAGGCTGCAGGAGCAGCTGAGCCTGCTGTTGCTGCCCTCCGTATGAGATGGGCGCAGGCTGCCAGTGCCGCTGGGGAGGCAGAGCTTGAGCGGTGAGGATGGAGGGAGGCAGTCTGGCATCCGAGGAATTGGGGCAAGAGATGACACCTGCCAGAGGAAACAGCATGCCCCTTTTTCCAGAAGGGGCCCCGGAGAGGGCCCAGCAAGCACAGGGACGCTGAGCTGTCAGTCCTGCTAAAACTGCCTCCCAGCCCAGGTCCCGCAGCCCCTCCTGCTGCACGGAGACACTCCCAGCTCTCATGGCTTTTGTTTGCGTTTAAAATGGCAGTGGCAGAGCTCAGAAATGAGTTCAGCATCCACAGGTAGTGTCAGTGCTGGCCCCTGCACCCTCTCCCAGTGCTGTCTGCCCATCTCGACGTGGGAGACCACTTCCATCCCCAATTCAAGGCCTTGCTTAAGGGATCGTCCCAGCTTTGGGACCTGTTTGGCATTTCACCAAGTCTGTGGAGGGGATTAGTGCCATGGAAAGTATTGATCTTGCTCGCTCCTAACTGGCTTTTTTACTAAATACTAATCATGGTTAAATTAAGACTCTCTTTCCCTGTAAGCAGGAGCAGAAGTGGAGCTTGGATGAAGGGAAGGGGAGCCTTGTACCTGGGTATTACTAGTCACACTGCGACTGACCCAGCTCAGGCTGTAACATCAGCCTTGTCCTGAACTCCAGTTTTGCCCTGGACCTGTCACTGCCCGCGGTGCAGACTTGCCCACTGCTGTGCAGAGCTGTGAGCTGAGACTGGGTTTAACTGTTCTCTAGGCGTCTAGTCCTGCACTGAGCCCCGGCTGCCAGAATATGGGGAGTCATTAAAGCTCCCCTACGGAAAGCAGGGATGTGGGAGGCTGGAGCCCTGGCTCCTCTAATCTGCTGCAAGCTATGCCCTGCCTGGCATTTGAGGCAGGGGGTTCGAGTGGGGCTGTGATGTCCCTTCTCCCCTGTCAGCCCTTGAGTCCTCTCGAAACGTCACTCACAGGAGCTTTGCTTTCCCCAATGCTCAGCTGCCCTTGGGCACCCTGTGACACTGGCAGCGGTGTCCCGGCTGCCTTCAGCCCAGCTGCAGGCAGCTGTCACCGTGCCACTGCCTCTCTTTCAGTCCCTGTCAGAGCCATGTGTTGAATATCTCACTCCTTTCCACGGGGCCTCTTTAATGATGCCGCTGAGCAGACGTTCGTGCTGAGCCACACACTCCAGAGACCTGGGTTGTTTTTTTTTTTTCCAAAGCTCCTTGCCGTGTGTGTTGGCTCGTGCTGGGGATCTCCTACCACTGTTTTGCTTTGACACCAGGGTGGCGGCAGGGTTGCTGCTCTTGTCCCCATACCGGTGCAAGCAGCAGGGTTGGGTCACCACATCCCCTTCTCCATCACAGTCCTCGTGCCTGGAGCTGCACCGGGAGGTCTTCTGCACGAGGCTTGTTCCTGCGTGGCTGAACCTGCCTCTCCCACCAGTCCTGGTCGCGCGCATGTGGCCCTGTCCCACTCCTTTGCCTGCCCATCCTCCTTCCTCTGTGGGGGAAGTTATCTAGGGAAGGAGATGGGTATTAAACAGATTTTGCCTGCCTTTCTCATTACCTGGAACATTTGAGAGTGGCTGCAGAGAAGCCAGCAGAAGAGTGATAGTTTTGGATGATGACCTGCAGCAGGAAAACAGCTTTGCTGCTCTTTCTGCAGTGCAAGATTGGCAGATTAATGCAGGGTTAAGCCCTTGCTTGTCACTAAAGCTCCCGGTGGCAGTTTGCTCCGGAGCCGAGTTCTGCCACAGAGGAGGAGCAGAGGTGGGAGCAGTGTTGGAGTCACTGGCTCTGCGCTTCCCATCCTCCTGCAGGCAGGATCTGTAAGCTTCGGTTTTCACAGCGCTGCCGGCCTGCGACAGCTGCCCTGCGGCGTATCTGAGCTGAGAGGGTGGCCCAGCTCCAGCCTCGAGCCCCATCCTCTCCCTCTCTTGCTCTTTTCCAAGGAAGATCAAAGATGCTTGTTAGGATTTCTGAGCCTCTGGGTTTGGAAATGGGCCAGTTCAGCCCTGACATCTGTTGATCTGATTTAGCAGCGTGACGGGCGCTCTCCTCCCGAGGAGGAAAGGGAGGGAGCTGCTGGGTCGACCAAGCCAGGAGGGCCAGACCTGTGTCTCCTGACTGTCTCCTCCATAGCTTCCACTGCCTTCCCATGCCTGTTGCCCTCTACAGCCTCCAGGTTAAGGTGAGCCTGGCCTGGAGCAGGTGAACTCTGCTCCAATCTCAGCCAGCATCACCGCCGTCCCACCCTCAAGGCGTGTCTGGTCTCTCCCTTGCCCTTCCTGGGGGTTCGTAAGCCTATTTAAAAGCAAGGGCAGCCTTTTGCACTCTGCGAGTACCCTTTGGGGACAGAGCTGCCACTAACCCTTGTGCTCTCAGACCCCCAGTTCACTGGGTTTGAAAAACAAGCTTGCACAAATCTCTGCTTCCCCGGCAGCAAGGCTCTTCTGTGCATGGGGCTGCTTCTGTTTGCTGCATCTCGCCTGTCAGCAGGACTCAAGGAGGAGGAGAGGCTCTGTGAAGCTGAGCAGTCTCTCTGCCGCGTGGCCCCCCTGTCAGGCTCCATGCTGGATTTAACTTGGAGTCTTTTGCTCGTGTGGTTTTTGGTCCTTGCAATCGTGCGCGAGAGTCCTGCTCTCCTGTAGAGGTTTCTGAGGCTTTGGCAGTTCTTCCTCATGGGTCCTCAGAGTTGGCAGCAACTTCTTGGGTGCTTCTGTTGTGCTTCAGTCCTGGGATGATGCTGATGAATTCGACTGGGAGTGGGAACTGAGCTCCCTTGTGCTGCCCCAGGCCAAGGGCAGCGTTTGCTTCCCTGGTTTCTGGCTGCAGTGAGGGATTCACCTCTCCCGGTTCTCCCCGTGGTGCTGCCAGCTGGCAAAGACCTGCTGTCACCCAGGGCAGGGTGCACTCCAGCAAGAGGGGTCCCATATGCCGGGAGCTTTGTCCATGCACAGCCCTCACCCCAGAGGGACGACAACAGCGGCAGCGCTGTGGGATCCCTCCCGTGGTCCCCTGGGGAGCTGGGCTGGGTTCGGATTGTGGCCGCTGAGTCTTCTGGGGTCCTTCAGCCCTTCGCCTGGGTTGGAGAAGTAGGTCAGTGCATGGGTGCTGTGCTCTGTGCCAGGCAGGCCACTCGGGTCATGCAGGGAGCCTTGTAGTGCCTCTTGCTCTGCCTTGGCTTGGTAAAGCCCCTCGGTATGTCCCGTAAGCAGCCTCGTGTCCCCCATCCTCCTGATGCTTTTCCCTCTCTGTTTTACAGAGGAGGACGTGGAGAACTTTGACGTGACGAACCTGTCGCAGGATGTTTTACGGAGCATCGAAGCCGATAGCTTCTGGTGCATGAGCAAGCTGCTGGACGGGATACAGGTGAGCCTCTGGGGCCGCGGAGGTTTCTCTGCCTTTGCTGGGGTAGCAGTGCAGTCATCTCTCTGTGTTTGGGTGAGCACTCTGCATGTCCTAGCATTAGGGAGATTTTGCTACTTCACTGGGCTAAATCTGTGGGTAAAATCCTGGGGAAATAAGGTGCTGCAGCTGTCTAGCCGGCGCTGTCCTGACTAGGGACTTCACAGCAGGCAGATGATCCTGGTGCTCAAGAGCCATGTCTGCTTGGCTCATGGTGATCGTGGCTCCCCGTGGAGCTGGGGATCTGGTTTTGGTCCTTTCGAGCTGCTGTTAGAGCTGCTGCTTCTGACTCATGGCCTCTCTCCACAGGATAACTACACCTTTGCACAGCCGGGGATCCAGAAGAAAGTCAAAGCCCTGGAGGAGCTAGTCAGTCGGATTGATGGTAGGTGACAAGGGGATCTGAGCAGGTTGGAGGCTCTCTTGTCACAACAGCGGGAGGCCTCCTTTGCAAGTAGTACTCTCAGGGCAGGGGTAGACACTTGCCTATAACACATATGGAAGCAGGGCAGGGTAGGGTCAGCCAGAAACCCCCTGGGGACAGGGTTTTTCTGGCCAGGCAGCGCAGGGTGAGGAGCAGAGGCATTTGGGAGAATGAGGTCTCAGCCTGAAAGTGCGTGAAAGCCGGTGTGTTGGGGGCAGTGGCGCGTGCGGGAGCTGGGGCACCGTGGTCCCCAGGTATGTAAGTGAAATGTGCTGTTTCAGAGCAGGTACATAATCACTTTAGGAAGTACGAGGTCGAATACCTGCAGTTTGCCTTTCGCTGGATGAACAATCTGCTTATGAGGGAGCTGCCTCTTCGCTGCACCATCCGCCTCTGGGACACCTACCAGGTACGCAGGCTCCCGCTGCCTTCCCTGCTTGGCTGGTCGCTGTGGGGCCAATTCCCTGTAGATGGGGGGGGAATGGAGGTCTTCTGGCAGCACCGTGCAGCTGGGGAGATGAGGGAAGCAAAGCAGTGTGGCCCCGGGACGTTTATAGCCAGTTGGATGACGGGTGGCCCGGTAGGACGTGTGTCCAGGGAAGTCGCGCTCCCGCTGAGCTGCAAGAGCTGACCCAGAGTTTTGCTGTCCGCAGTCGGAGCCAGAAGGATTCTCACATTTCCACCTGTACGTCTGCGCCGCCTTCTTGATCAAGTGGCGGAAGGAGATCCTAGATGAGGAAGACTTCCAAGTAAGTCCCTGGGGCTGGGGGTAATTCCCTGGGGGTAGAGGGGAGGGAATTGCTCTGGTTGGGAGCCCAGCATGGACAGAGTCAACCATCGCCTCAAAGCTGGCTCCAAGATCATCCAGTCTCAGGATCTTTGCCTAAAAGTAACTTCTGAGCCTCAGCGCTCAGGACAGAGAACTGAGCTGTTGGAGGGTTCAAACATGAAATATCAGCTCTTCCCTGGGCTCGAGCTTTGATCACGGTAAGTCCCTTCATGTTTGCCTTCTGCTGTCCAGCTGTAACACTACGGTAGCACCCTTTATCTCAAGGGGTTTGGGGGCATCTAAGGTGCTTCACTGATTCGGATCTAGACACGAGCACATCTTAATGCTGTCTCTGAGCCTTTCAGACCTGCGAGCGTGGTGAGCGAAAGTTACTGAGTGCTGCTGCCTGTGGTCGCGCCGGCCCCGAGCCTGCTCTGGATCTGTACTCTGCCTTCAACCGCCCCAAACTAAGCACCTTCCCCTCTTTCAGGGCCTTCTGATGTTGTTACAAAACCTGCCCACGATACACTGGGGTAACGAAGAAATTGGACTCCTGCTCGCTGAAGCCTACAGACTCAAGTACATGTTTGCAGACGCCCCCAATCATTACCGCCGATAGGTGCCGGGACTCGACTCCCTCCTCTCCCCCGTGCCCACCCCCTCGTCCTGGCCCGATCTGATCACTGTGGCATTTTGTCGTCCCAAGTCCTCGGACACTCCGGCCAGGAGCTGCTCCTCGCTGTACAAAGCTCACATTGACTCTTGTCTTAACGTGTGCCTGTCTGCCACTCCCATGCGCCTGGATGTGCCACTCCAACGACCGTCAGTATTTCACGCCGAGCCGGGGAGAGAGGCGTGAAGGGGCTGGGGGTTCGACATGGGGGGCAGCTTTACAGATAAACTGAGCTGAGGACGAAGCCCTCCTGTCCTCTCCACCCCTTGCCCTGGGCTTGTCCGGCTGGGACCACCTTGGCTTCGCTGCCTCGTGTTAACCTGCCACCACGTGCGCTGCCCCATCTGCTCCTCTTCTCTCTTCCGACACTGTTCACTCCAACTCCCAGATGAAAATGCCTTATCAGAGACCCGCCTGGCCGGAAAAATCCTTCCCCCCAAGGGCAGCAGGGCAAGAAGTTTCTCTCAGGGCCTAGCTTCACTCCGAGGGTCCGGAGACCCCAAGCACTTTGTGGGTTCGCGAGAGAACCCCTCGCACCTGCCCTCTCTCCCTCTCTCCATCCTCTTCGCCTCCCTCTCCCCCAGGGCAGCGGGGTGGGCACGGCGAGGGGGGGGACCGCTCCATCCACGCGTGGTTTGAATGATGCGCGCCAGCTTGACGGGACTTTTGGTGACTGATGTGCTGTCGGTACGGTCCCCTCTGTCGCAGGGGGGGAGGCACGGGGGGGCTGGCAGGGGAACAGCATCTCCCGAAACCCCCTTGGCAAAGCCCCCGCTCCTCCGAGGCGTTCTGTGTATATTGTGTTCTTGTGTATATGGGTCAAAGATGTACAATATACGTCTTCTGTTTGTAGCAGATAATGATTTTATATTTATAACGTGTACCCCTTGTTCTCCCTATCCTCTCCATGCCTGGGAAGGCTGCCTGGGTACGGCATCGTAGGGCTTTGGACCCCTCCGGAGGTGGGGGGCGTTTCGGAGCCGCGGGTATTTCTGCCCCAGCATGGTTTTGCAGTGTTGGGTCTGCCAGGAAGAGGTGCAATAGAAATACGTATCTCAAGGCTTCCCCTACAAAGAGGATTTGGGCGTTTAAAGGAGATGGGAGCTCCCAGCGGGAAGCAGGGGAGAGCCATGTCGAGGAAACAGGGTATCCGGGCTCGTCGGCTGCTGGCACATGCCCCTCCGAGCGCTGCAGGGCACAGCCGTGCCGGTGCTGCCGGCGGGACTCTCCAGGGAGGAACGATCCCGGATCCGGCGCTGGCTGCCCCCAGAACTCCCCAGCCCTGTGGACACGTCCTCCCGGGGCTTCTCCCGTGGGGCCGGCAAGGACCGGGCTGGCCTCGCCACCCTCTGCTTTTAAATCAGCCCAATAGTGAATGTTTTAATGAGCCGTTTTCTTCCCGTGGGCAGGCGCCATCCGTGTCGTGCCAAGGGCTGGATGCTGGAGGGCGTAGGGGGACGGGTCCAGGCCACCCCGGGCTTCTGCCGGTGCTCCCGCGGGGCGATGTGGGCTATCTCGGCAGGGCACGGAGGTTCCTGGTCCCTCCGCTTTCCGTTCCTGTTGCCGGTGGGAAAAGGCAGTGGGCCGCGAGGCTGGGGCCAAGCATGTGAAAGGCAGAGCCTTGTTGCCAATAAAACTCCAAACAGTGTCTCAAGAAATCACTTTCCTAACCTGGAGTTGTTTTTCTCAGGCATTTGGACTTTTACTTTATTTTTGTGTGTGCCTTTTGTTGTTTTCTCCGAGAGACAGACCTGGTGGTCCTTAGTTTAACATGACGAATTAAAAAAAAAGAAAAAAAGCCAACAAAAACCAAAACAAACAACTGAACTGTGTGGTCTGGCAAGTGTTTGCGGTGGGGTTGGGGGCGGTGAGTCCTCGTTTGGCCTCATGAGGGGCTTTGGGCAAGTACCCCCCCTTGTGCCTCAGTTTCCCCACCTGTAAAATGAGGAGGAGATTCGCCTCTTTGTCTCACGCTGGGAGACTCGGTGTTGTCGTCCGAGTTTGCTGTTGGTCAGAGCAGCTTATGGGAGGATCGACCTCCCTCCGTGCTGCTGTCGACAGGCCTTTAACCCCCCTCCCCCAGTCACCTTCTGTCCCCTATTAATTACTTTTTAAAGTTCAATGGAGTGGAACAAATATAATTACTTCTGGGAGAGTCTAATTACCTGCGTTTGTTGCCCAGGCTTTGGGCAACTTTGGGCAATTTGTTAGAATTGATTGCGAAGGGCTGGCTCCTTCCCCTGGGTCCCCCCCGGGGCCACGCAGCCCCTGTCCCCATCCAGGGTTAGTGTCCCGTCACAGCCGCGTCCCCAGCGCCCGGCCGGGCCCCCGGACACCTCTCCTGGGCTCTGCTCCCCGCGCCCCCCGCTTTGCAGAGAGGTTAAATCGGGGAGCCTCTAGTCTGGGGGAGGAGAGCCCCTCGGGATTGTTTCTGGCCTCAACACTGGCGGGAGCTGGTCCGGGTTTTAGACTGCCTTCCCTGACCGGGCTGGATCCTGCTGCGGGCTCAGCGCCCTTTTTGGAGCGAGTGCCCTGTTGTCCTTTGGAAACTGAGGCTGTTACAGCCCGGGGGTGACCGTACCCCCGATCCTGCAAGACGCTGAGCATCCCTGTCCCGGGGCAACGCAGGATGAGGCCCCATCCCACCTGAGCAGGATTTCTCCTCCCAGCCCAGAAACATCAGCGTGGCTCCGGATGAAAGGCCAGGGTCCCTGCGGGGAGGGGAGCGGGGGGGGGGCCCTGGCTCCTGTGGCACT